TGTCTGAGTCACAGTATGGATGGGGGGCTGATTCTCTCGAGTAGCCATGTTGGCCATAGTGTGTTTCTTTGTACCTTGCTGTCCTGACCTTTTATTCACATCTAAACTTTGCTTCTTATTCAGATCTTGAGCCCATTTCGGTTTCCCATGAAGATCCCAGCATGTATTTCAGGTGTGTCGGGGTTTCTGGCAATGAGTACACCACAATTTTTCTTTATCTTCCGTTTTTTTCTGGAGATCTCCTTTCCTAGAAGAATTTCCCACACTGGTAGAGACACCCCCTTTTGCTGCCAACACAACTGCATCTCCACCAGGGCTGTTCATCAAATTCCTTCTGCTCTCTTCAGATTGTACAAGAGCATAAACTTCCTGAACTGATGGAAGATCCTTAGAACTGAGAATATGGACTCTGATAGATTCATACATAGGGTTCAAACCACGTAAGAAGGCAAACACTCTCTACTGGGAGACAAGTTTCTTGTACAGTTTTGCATCCTCGTCACATTTCCAGTCCACACTCTGATAATGGTCCAACTCCTTCCAGACAGAAGTCAAGTCAGAGTAATATACCGATAGACACCTCTCCCCCTGTTTACAAGTAGATGACTCTGCCTGTAGTTGATAGATCTTTGCATAGTGTCGCAGTTCTGAGTATGTAGATTTTGCTTGTTCCCAGATCTCATTTGCCATTTCAGCCCACATGAAATTCTTCCTTATTTGAGGTTGCATAGAGACTAAGAGCCAAGACATAACCATGCTGTTTTCCTTATTCCATCTATCATATTCAGCACTCCCAGAGTGTGGTTCTTTAATTCTCCCATTAATATAACCTATCTTCCCCCTTGCAGTGATGTACAGCTTGATCCTTCTTGACCACTCTAAGTAATTTAAACCATCAAGAGGGACAACAGCCATGGGAAATGATAGGTCTACACCCCCACTCATTCCATTCAGCATTGAGGAAACTCCAGATGTAGCAGAATCTTCACCACTCATGATTTCAGATTTAAAAACAACACCCAAAAAAAAAGAAACACAGCCTCAGAGTTATTACAGAAGGTACCAGCCACTTCCAGACCTTCAGTCCACCAAAAAAAACTTCTGTTGCAGCACACAAACAAGGTCCTTATGACCTATGGTTTCACGGAGGTTCCAAAAACAAAACTGCTGTTGCAGCACATAAACAGGTCCTTATGACCTATGGTTGCACAGGGATCAAACAACCCCACAACAGAAAGGAAAGGAAGAGGTGAAGCTCACCACACATCTAATTGGTAGACCTGGAACAGGTCCAACATCAGGGCAGCCGAACAGTCAATGAGAACAAAGTAAAAAAAAAAAAGGGTTACTTCAGTCAAACATCAGGGCAGCTGAACAGTCAATGAGAACAAAGTAAAAATAGGAGGTTACTTCAGTCGAACACCAGGGCAGCCAAACAGCAGATGAACATCAGATGATAACTTCTGAAAGTTTCAGTCGAACATCAGGGAAGCCAAACAGCAGATGGACAGCAGATGATAATTTCTGACAACCTGTCACCCTCAAAACAAAACCTTCTACATGCTGGAAGCCGAACAGCAGATGAAGATAAAAAAAACAGACAGACTTTTACATGCTGGAAGCCGAACAGCAGATGGACACAACTGGAAGATGAAGGGACAGACTGCTCGACTTCACCTTTCAAGCCTGGACGACCTGCTCTGATACCATGTTGTACAAGAGAAAAGGAGAGAGAAGAGGAGAGACGAGAGGACTGAGAGCCAAAAAGAAGACTGCAGGCGTGCAGTATGTTATTATTTATACTAGGATGGCCGTACAACTTAAAGAATGAAGAAATTACAAAAGTACCCCTGCGGTACCATACATATATAAAATAACATCTGTTAACAGGTGGTAAGGTTGGGTTGGGTTGGGAACCTAGAGAAGTAAGGCCATCATATGGGGTGAGTGTTTGGAAGGGGATTATGAGTTTTAATGGGGAATTTAGAAGCCTAGTAAGCTGCTCAGTAGGAGATGTTCAAGAATCAGGTTTTGGGAGGATGATTGGAGTGGGGTAGGCAAGCTGAACTAGTGCTATGCACAAGACCCGCCCTTTGAACTAGTGCTATGCATCCTCATCCCCCCTCCTTTTAAGGAGGCTTACACCTCCTTGTGCTCAAGAGGCTTACGCCTCTTACGTTCTGAACTACACCTCACGCCTCTAGGTTGTGGAACGCCTTGTGTCATGCCTTCGCGTTTTAAAACATTGGTCCAGACCTTTTTACAGTGGGTACACAAAAATATATCCTTACCAAAATCACCTCTTTTCTGTGTATCACCTCTCTTGTTATCACCCTTAGTTAGCAACGCAACCTGCTCCCCCTCAGGAGGATTCATAGCCGTCCTAGTTTCCTTGGATTGAACGAAAGCAAAGATTTCTTCAAGACCCAAGAGTTCCTCACTACCAAAAATCTGAACTCAAATAGGTTCATAAATGGAATTCAGACCTGATAAAAAGGCAAATACGCTTTCTTGAAAAGTAATTTTCTATAGGCAGAAGCATCATCACCATTTTTCCAATCAATAGTCCTATAGTGATCCAACTCCTGCCATATAGACACGAGGCAAGAATAGTAGGCCGTAAAAGACTTGTCCCCTTGCTTAGAGGTTGATGATTCAGCTTGCAATTGATAGATTCTAGCAAAATGGCTTTGTTCAGAATAAGTTGATTTTTTTAGTCCCAAATCTCCTTAGTCGTTTCAACCCACATGAAGTTTTTTCTAAGTAAGGCTGAATGGAAGAAACAAGCCAGGGCATGATTAAATAATTCTCTTATTCCCACTTATCATAGTTAGGAGTCAGCTCTTTCTGTACTAGGTCTCTTGGTCTTCCCAGTGAGATACCCTAATTTTCCTTTGGCTCCAACAAACATTTTTATACTTTTAGACCACTCCAAGTAATTTAAACCATCAAGAAGGATGATGGAAACTGAGAAACTAACATTCTCCATGCCGCTATTAGCATTACTTTGCCCTCCAAAAGGATTAGATGTGACTGAACTATCAGCTGACATGTGCTGCATGTGCTGAAAGGTGAAACAACACCCACAAACAAGAAACCACTTGTCCTACGACCAGAAAAGAGAACTGAAGAGATGAAAGCTGATCAGTGCAAGGAGATTACAGTGCTACACCCTTCAAGAAATCAGATTGCTATAGAAGATGAGGAGGAGAAAAAAGGTTTTCTATGATAGATTATGCTCCAATACCATGTAATCTATCAAAGAGAACCTACGTGAGAAGGAAGAAATAAGAAAAAAAAAAAAGAGAAGAGAAAGAAGACAGCAGAATGTGAAGAGTGAATCTCTCTCTATCAAAGAGAGGACCCCTCTAAATAAATATTACAGAGAGGTCCCTAAGAACAAAAAAATACAGGAAGACCTAGAACATATAATAAAAACACCTTACAACATTCTTCAATTTCTTTCAAAAGAAAGGACTGAGCTTTTTGGGCGGTTGGGCCTTTTTTGTTTCTTTATTATTTGACCTATCGGGCCAGCTAGTTAGTTTCAAGATACTATAATAGCTGCCACCTAAGTAGGGTCACACATGTAATTTTACCTTTGATTGCATAAAGTATAAAAGATGGGACTCTAAAGAAAGCCCAATGATCTATTCTTCCTAGTCTCACTTCTCTTCTTTCTACTTCTTCTCTACTTTGTTTTCAGTGCTGCAACAATTTTTTTTTTCTGATTCAAATACATACAAACTATCAAGACTGAGGTTTGCTTAGATCAACAACCTGGTATAGAGCCTAGTCTTGATATAGGTTTCTTCTCTCATGCAACTCTAATCCAGTTGTTGACTGCATGAGGTGATCTTAGGGTTGGGTCCTTTGAAGTTTTGTGACCTGGCATGGTGGTTTTTGGAGAGTGTGTGATTCTTCCCAAGTACCAGTCTTGGAGAAGATCTCAAAAACCATCGGAAAAACCAGAGATTCAGGCACAGACCTAGTTTTTGGGCTAGAGGCCTTGGTTGCTTGTAGAATTTGGGCTTTACTAAGATCAATGGAAGTTCTAGAATTTGGGCTTTACTAAGAACAATCCAGGTTGGAAGTGTTTTTGGTGCTGCCAAAGAGAATAACAGCTATATTCTCTTGCTTTGATAGCCTGGGGGATGTTTCGGGGTAAGGTATGCATCATCCTATAGTATCTATATTGCTTTTGTTTTGTTTTCTGGTTCTTTGCTGGAAATCATTACTTGGTGATTAATGGAGATATCTGGAGAGGACCATAAGCAAGGTGAAGACACCTATGTACTCCTGTAGTAGTATCATGTGACTTTTCTCTTCATAACAACAGTTAGATTGAATAGAAGCAATTACCTCCAGTTGTCACAAGGTGTTCAAATATACATTGGTGGGCATGGAAAACTGGGATATCTTATAGGTACTGAGAAAGAGGCAAATGCTCAGGATCATAAGCATGCCAAGTGAGTCCAGCAGGGCATGATGATAATGTCTTGGCTGACTAATTCAATGCAGTCAAAGATCAGTCAAATTTTCTTATGGATGAAGACATCTAAATATAGGACAATGCAGCCAAGATATATTCTCAAATGTAGACAGAGCCTATCAGTTAGAGGTAAATAATCTTAAACAAGGGAAGATGTCTTTATCCACATAGTATTCTAGACTGAGAATGCTCAAATGTTTGGAGACATTTGAATGGACTTGCTTTAGAGGTGCAGCTTTATACAAGATGGTGCCAGAAAGGAACAGAGCTTTTGAGTTTCTGCCTGGCCTAAATGCCCAATATAATATTACTAGATACGACACATACTTCTTAAATTGATTTCATCCAGATTGCATAAATATAACCTCTTCTTTTATATTTGTTGGTAAGATGAAAGTAGTTCTGTTCTACTTGTTACGCTATTTCAATATTACTACAATAGGACATCTCAAAGAAAAAGCTGAAAATATTTACTGTGGTGGATGATCCAAAATAATCATTTCTCCATGGAAAGCATATGATGACATTTTTGAAATTGACATCCCATGTCATTCTTTTGCGGTTTAAGAGAACATATCTGCAAAATGAACAAAGGATATTATAAAAATCTAGAACAATATGAAAGAGAAAGAATGACATCTTTCTATTACATATGACAAAAGAAATAAAGTGCTGCAACAATTCAATGGCAGAAAGATACTTACTGAGATTTCAATAGTATTCGTCTTTCAAATTTCTCAAACCCATTTAGAGATGAGAGCACCTGTTGTTTGACAAAAACGCAAATTCAAAAAAAATAATAAAAAACAAACAAATTGTCCAAAATAATGTAGAGGAGGAAAGGTGAAGAGCATCCATGTAGAGCAGCATTTCAATAACTGGTCATGTACCACCACACACCAAAACCTTCCTGCAACCAGTATTCTTTAGAAAACATGAATGATTTCATCAAAGAATAGCAAGAAATTTGATTTATATACGAAGTGTCATCTTGTTTTTAGTCAAAAAAAGGAAGAAAAGGTATTTAACTTCCATGGAAGCATTTATTTACAAATTACAAGTGAAATTATTCCAAAAACAAGCGAGAAACTTTACTGTCATGAAATTGATCCAACAGTCAAACATCATAGCCAAACTCCTACATTTTTGGCACAATAAACTGTTGGGAAGCCACAACTTCAGTGAATCAACCAAATGGCAAATTCTGGTTTGAGTAAAATGATGAAAGCAGAAAGGCAGAAAAGATACGGAATTGTATCCTTGGGGTTGCAACTCAGTAAACTGTCTAAGCAATAAGGGTGTTTTGGGGGTGTTAACACCAAGCGATAAGATGTACTTTTTGGGGTGTTAGCAAAAGACAATCAATAACAAAAGAACCAAGATCCATCACAAAACCTTCTTATATCAGTCTTCTTTCCTTCAAATATGTATACCCAAATGACTTATTATTAGCTTTTTTTTTTCTTTTTTTCTGACAAGATGTCAAGCCAATGCTCTTTCACAGTACATTCTTCACCAATGAATTTTTTGTCTACTGCATTACTAAAAAAATGTAGGCAGCAGAAAAAGAATCTTACCCGTTCATGCTGAAATTGGAAAGACTGCAAAATATGATGAAAATCAAGGAGATTCAATATAAACTCTGAATCATAGGTCATCTCAAATGGTTGAAGAACAACCTAAGAACAGAGGTTTACCATGAAAACATTCATTAGAAAGCCATAGATGAAAAATATCTAATAATCAATACTTTCGTACTCATAGAAATATGCATCTAATTTCCAGTTCCATAAATTTGAAAGATAAACATAAAGCTACCTTTATTCCCAGTTCACTGTCATGATCCATCAAAGACATATCAACTTGGACATGCATAAAGGGAGTAACATACTCCACAGAAGCTTCCTCACTGACTACCTACAATGTGTAAAACAGTATTGAAACAGAATGCAAGTTATTACCATTTGACTTCATGTTAGGAGGGTCAATTTTAAGGATGACCACATACTAGAACAAATAAAAATATTAATAATTACTACAAACAAATTCAGATATGGCATCGAATAATACAATTCATATTCTCCAGATATCATAAGCAAGAACAGTAACGGCTTACCAAAACATCTACCTATATATAGTGTGACTTTATTATCAACAATCCCCAAAACAGTATATCAAACCATGACACTGAGTAAAATTTCATATTCTAATGCTTTTGGAGTATAGAAAACAACAAAAATACTAAAATAAACATTGGTTAGAATTGTGAGAAAGTATATGCAATGCAGTGGATACACTTTCTTGTATTCCCATATATTGTTAAACTATTCTACACTTCTGATTATCATCTTATCAGACTTCTTTTGGTAGATTGTATCTTACAAGGTTGAAAGAATTAAAACTGTACTACATATTTCTACACTTGTTAGGGAAGTGATTATGGAGAGTACCTCTAGAATCAGGACAGATTATTGCTCAACCACACAAAGTCACCATGAGCACTCATGGCTCATTGTCTAATGGCTAAGATATTGGTTCAGATACATGGGCTACCTTGTCCTTTCCATGGAAAGAAGTCTTTGGCATTCTCCCTAAATTATTAAGGTTCATATGATATGATGTTTGGTCTGGTCATAGGACCTCTTTTCTAAGATGATATGCAGATGGAGGACCTCCCCTTGAAAGATCAATTTTCTTCTCTTTCCGCCTCTTCTGTTCATAAAATGGAACCTATGTCTAAGTTTAACTCTTCTTCCCCTCTTGCAATTGATTGGGATCTTGGCTTTTTTAAGGGGCATTATGGTCCTTACGGTCGGAAGCCCCCTTTATTTCAAACTTGTTTAAAATTCCCTCGTGGCTCCTTTTCTTGTTCTTCCTTTTTTTGGGCTTTGTTCTCACTCATACCTTTGCTACACCCTTTTCCACTTGGAAGGTTTGGAGCAAGCATGTGCTAAACAAAAGCAGGGCTTTTCGTTGCATGTGTATCATAAGAAATTTATACATGTAACAGGATGCAGAAGACATAGATGATACTTTTTTCCTCACATTTGTATTCCTCGTTTTGCTATTGAGAAGTCTACATTTACAAATCTCAAGTTCATTTGTTTTTTGTATTTGGAAGTGGTTTTTCTTATTATTTGGTTGCAAGTGGAGTGGTGCACTATCCCAGCAATAAACTGGTACATTGGCTGAAGACTATGGACATATTTGCCCTGTTTTCAATGGATGGCATAATTAAAGATTGGAAAGTGGTAGAAAGCTCATCTACCAAGAGGTAGAGCTCTAAATGGGTCAAGTCTGGTTCAGAACAGGGTGTACCAGTACCAAACCGCATTCCTTTTGATAAATAAATGAACTTTTTATTAATTTGGAAATATTAGCACATACAAGGAGCCCTTGGAGAGGCACAAGCTGTGATCTCTCCACTAAAGAAGAAAACAAAGGTAGTAAGTTACAGTTATGCCCAATACAGAACTTCCCTAGCTGCCCCTTGCTTGGCTAGGCAGTCCGCCATAGCATTTGCTGATCTCCCCACCCATTGTATTCTTAGGTCCATGTTTTTGTCAGCACCTTAAACTTTTTAATTTCATTCCTGAAGCACCAAACTACTGACTCTGGGTCCTGCAACCAGCTTACTACAACCTTGGGGTCACCTTCAACTATTAGCTGGTTTACCCCTAATTGAGCTGCAAACTGTACACCTTGCAAGGCAGCAAACATTTCTGCTCTAGTAGAGTCTCCCACTCCTAAAGGACCTGAGAAGATAAGTATCACATTCCCAACTTCATTCCTCAACACCCCACCTAACCCAGAAGGACCTGGGTTTCCTAGACTTGCTTCCATCAAAATTCAACTTCAAGAAGCCTGTAGGAGGAGCTGACCAGCTTGTTCTCACTTTAGTCTTGGAAGAGGAACAGCTTGCAACTGCTGCCTAATTCCTCCAAATGTCATTAAAGGAGAATTGGTGAAACAAGTCCAAAGATTTCAGCCAATGAATCACCCTAACCAAGACACAGTCCTCTATCTCTTGAAGGTTCTTTTCCTTCTCCAAAACAGTTCTAGCATTCCTTTCTTCTCAGATTGTCCATATCAATGTAGCTCTTGCACACCTCCACATGATTTTACCCCTTTTCTGTTGCCAAACAAAAGTAGAGGGATCAAAAAGCAGTCTTAAATCTGCTGGCAAGTTCCAACTGCTCCCAAACAAAGAGAGAAGCCAATCCCATAACTCTGCATTAAAGGAACAAGAAATTAACAAATGATAACAGTCCTCACTCTGAGATTTGCACAGGATGCACCAGTTGGGGGAAATACAGAGAAAAGTTCTTCTCTTTTGTAGATTATATCCAAGGTATTAACTTTCCCATAGTACACTTCCCAATAGAATGCCAAAATCTTAGGGGGAACAGGTCTGCACCAAACTTCCTTGACAAGGAAGGCCTGCTGAGGGTTAGAACAGCAAAGGGATTTGAAAAAAGAAGCACAAGAGAAAGATCCTTCCGCTCAAGGTATCCAAATTTTTTTGTCAGGTTCAAAGGGGTTCAAACAAACTTTCTCAAGAAGGCAAAGTAAACTGACTAAACACTCAATCTCATCATCCCTTAAGCCTCTACGAAACCCAAAATCCCAAGTAGGAGCCCAAGGGATTTCCAATGAGGAGCAAAATTTGGAAACAACCTCTTTTTTGTATCGAGAAACTGAGAACAGGGAGGGGAAAAGGGTTTTCAGGGGAACATCTCCAACCCAAATGTCCTCCCAAAAGAGGACGGAGTTGCCATGACACACATCAAAACTGATATGACTGAGGAACTGAGGAAGAATATTGTGCACTGCCTTCCAAGGGGTTGCCGAAGTTGCTTGCCTTGATACACCAGCACCCCATCTATTCCCTAAGCATCCATGTATGCTTCCGATCACCTCATGCCACTTCCCCAGTAAGGCTGCATTTTTTTTAAATTAAGTTTCCTCGTCCCAAGCCCCCTTCCTCTATACTCCTACACACCACCTCCCACTTAATTAAATGGTCTTTCCTATTTTCCCCTAGTTCCCAAAGAAAGTCTCTCATTAATTTTTCCTACTTCATAGCTTCCCTAGTTGGGATCCTAAAGACAGAGAGAATGGTAAGTTGGAAGGTTTGCAAGTGTAGCTCTTATTAAGGCGATTCTTCCCCCCAGAGAGATGTAGTTCTTTTTCCATGAGGCCAATCTCTTCTCAAACTTCTCTACAACCGGGCACCAGAACCTACTCTCCTGAGGATTTGCTCCTAAAGGAAGCCCCAAATAGGTCAAAGGCCAAGTAGAGATAGAACACTCTTAAGCACTCAGCAATAGCCTCCACTTCTCTTGATTCCAAATTAACCCCTGCAATGCAACTCTCTTCAAAATTGATTTTCAAATTGGAAATACTTTCAAAGTTTCTAATCAGCACCTTTAAACTTCTCACCCTCTCAATCTCAGCCCCCTCACAAACGATTAATACATCATCCACGAACTGGAGATGGGTAACTGAGGTCTCATTTCTACCAACTTTCCACCCTCTAACTACACCTTCTCTATCAGCCTTAGAGATTAAACGACTAAGCACATCAGCAACTAAGGTGAAAAGCCCCTTCCTGATACCCCTACTAGCTGAGAAGAAATCCTTCACCACTTCGTTCACCAGGATTGAATTGTGACAGGAACTAACACAACCTAGGATCCAATTACACCACTTTTCACCAAAGCCACAGTTTCTTAAGACTTCACTAAGGAACTTCCAGTCCACCATGTCGTAAGCCTTTTCAACATCCAGCTTACACACAAAGCCTTCCCTATCAGACCTCCACAAATCCTCCACACTTTCATTGGCAATCAATATTTGGTCAATTATTTGTCTTCCTTGTGCAAAGGCCCCTTGGGTTTGGCTGACTAAGGAGGGGGTAACTTCTTTAAGCCTCAAAGATAGAACCTTAGCTAGAATTTTGTAAATGCTAGTCACCAAGCTAATTAGTCTGAAATCTTTCGGATGAATAGCATCAGGTTTCTTAGGGACTAGGGCCAGAAACGTGGCATTGACACCCCTGCTCACTGTGTGATTATTTGCAAATTCCTTAAAAACCTCAGCCAAATCATCCTTTATTCCTTCCCAACAATCTTGGTAAAATGCCATAGTAAATCCGTCTGGTCTAGGTGCCTTAGATCTATCCATCAGGAACACTGCCTTCTTGATTTCAGCTTCTTCAACACTTCTTTCCAACCACCTCACTTTCTCTTCTCCCAAACATGGCCAATCCAACCCTTCCATAGACAATCTTTCATTCGAAGGCCTTTTATAAATGGACTTAAAGTGAGTCACGAAGGCTTTGGCTATTTCGTCCTGATTTGTAATGACCTCCCCTTCGACCTCTAATTTGGCCACAAAGTTTTTCCGCATTCTTCCACTTGCTAGATCATGGAAGAATCTAGTGCTTCCATCACCTTCCTTAATCCACCAGTGTCTTGACCCACAACTAGAACCAATTATTAATCAGGACTGACCTGATTAGACCCAATTAAGACATAAAATATAACAAAATTACAAGAAAATTCAGGAGACCTTTAAATATTGTAAACATACAAGAAAAACAGGAAGAAGAGAGGAGAGAAGAGAGGAGAGGAGAAGAAGAAGAGAAAGAATGTGGGAGTCGAAATCTTGGAGCTGGCGGCTACAGCTCCTCTTTTATTTAAAATGTTATAACTTATAACAAATATAAGAAATTGCAATTAGGCCCCTGGGGCTCACCCTAATACAAAGAAAAGAACATTCTGACAGCAGTCTAAGCTGACAGCATTGTAACAGCATAAATAAAGAAAAAACTATTTAAATCTAACAACAAATATTATTAACTCTATAATCTGTTTGGGTCTTAATCAGTTCAGAACAGCAAGCACTGGTCCCAACCAAAATATTAATCAGGATACCAAAACATACAAAATTGATTCGGACAGTTCGGTTCTGTCTGGTAGACCCAACCCATTGACAACCCCATCAAGAGGGTAGTGCATCAAAAGCAGTGGCAACTACCGTGGATTAATCATTTAAAATTTAATTTGATTGCAACAGATTTGGCAATCCAGGACAATCAGGTGTAAAAGTTGTATTTAGAGATGAATATGGATTGGAGGTATCTCTACTTTCTGGACCAATTGGAAGTGGAAACTCAATAAGAAGAGAGCTGCTAGCCATCCTGCATGAATTGCGCTGACCAAAATCATGAACATCAGAAATCCCATGGTTGAGGCATTCCAAAAAAAATGAAAAAATGGTTGACTACATGAGGAACAATAAACAGGCAATGTGACAGTATAGACAAGTCATCAAGCAAATCCAATGGTTAACAAGGGATTTGGGTACAACATATCAATGTGTGCAAAGATCAGAAAATGTCATGGCTGATGCTTTGGCTAAACAGGGGGTGGTTAGGGAACAACTCTTTTTGACACAGATATAACTTCATAAACTCTTGGGATAGGCAGCAAACCTGGCCTATAATAAGTTAAGGCCTTGTAATTTGTAAATACATTACTTTCTTATTTGCAACAAAAGTCTTGTTATAAATATGAAAAGAAAAAAAGATTCTAACCCATCACTACTAGCTGTCATGTTCGTACTTGGCTTCCTGGAATTTCTAAACCTTGTCAACTTGAAGTTCAAGTGTAACTTCCAATACATTTCTCTAGTATCCTTCAGCATTTATGATAATCACATACCACATCCTTCTTTTCCTCACCTTCGATTTCAATTAACACAACTAAGTCTTGGGATCTGTGGATACATGAGCTAAATACTCAGGAAAAGGTGTTTCTAGTGTCACCCCATCTGCTCTCCTTATTGTGTACAATCAAGTATGCCTATAATAGGGTGATGTCATCCTTAGTGAGGATGTGTTATCTGGTAACTAATATCATACTCCTGGTTCAGCTTGCAAGAAACAAAAATACCCTATTGCATTCCACCAATTTCCTATAAGTCATATTGTTCACATAGCTTTTCCATTCTATTGTTTCCTGGTAATCAATTTCTTGCCAGACAAACATAATAATAGAAAAGTATAATGCCAATGGTTACTCCTGCTTTAGACTATATGCCTCACTCAGTTGAGATGCTATGGTTACATTCAGCACCTTGGAATGTGTCAACCACACTCCTAAATTTCCTTATAAGTTTTCACCAACAAATAACTTTCATTGATGTAGTGTTGCATGGATTTCACAAAAAACACCATTATGTATCTCTTGGACCCTTCTAGCATGAAGTGGATCTGTCAAGCTGGCTCTACTATAGATTGTACAGACATAAGACTACAGCCGTAGATCAGCTCTTTGACCCTTCTTTGTGTGGCCTACAAAAACTGGTAAAACAATGTGGAGGTGCATTAGAGCTGCTGCTTTGTGGACAATTTGGGAAGAAAGAAATGCGAGGCTTTTCCGAGAGGAGAGAAATATTCAGACTGTAAAGGATTGTATTTTGACTAGGGAAATCCACTGGCTGAGATCTTTGGACTCCTTTCACATATTCTCTTTTGATGACATTTGGAGGAACTGGATAGTTGTGGCTAGTAGCTGTACCAGAAAGAATAGGGTACCAGCTGTGTGGGTGCCTCCTTCTGAAGGCTGGACAAAGTTGAATTTTGATGGTAGCAGCCAAGGCAACCCAGGTCCCTCTGGGATAGGAGGGGTGCTGAGAGATAAAGACAGCAATATTTTAGCTTTATTCTCAGGCCCCATGGGTATAGGAGATTCTATTAGAGCTGAGCTTCTAGCAGCGGTACAAGGTATTCAGATTGCAGACCAGTTAGGAGTTCAGAATCTGCTTATTGAAGGAGATTCCAAAGCTGTTGTGGGTTGGTTAAAAAATCCAGATTCAGTTATTTGGTGCTACAGGGACCTTCTGAGGAAAGTTAATTGGTTTTCAAGGAACATGACTGTTAATTCTCAGTGGGTGTGTAGAACAGCTAATACCAAAGCGGATGGATTAGCTAAGCAAGGGGCACCAAGGGAACATTAATTCTGGGCAGCTCTGTAATTTTTCGTTTTCTAGTCTGATGTAATAAATTGTTGTTGTTTAGGAGAGGTACCAGTTCGTACCTCTCCTTGGGCAGTCTGTACTGTATTATCATATTGTTCTTTTTTGAATAAATATCACTCATTTATCAAAAAAAATGTCTTGTAATCTCCAAAAACCTCCCTTTGATGTAATCAATTCCGGTTATGCCCTTGAACAAGCCACAAGGGCTTCAAATATATATAGAACTGTTCACGGGTCGGGCAGCTTGATGGGCTGCCCCAGTCCAGCCCATTTTATGTCAGGCTTGGACAAACTTTTAAGCTCACGGACTCGGGCTCAGGCTTGAAACATTTTATGTCTGGCCTGAGCCCGAGCTCAACTTGATGATAGTACATACATAATAAAAATTACAATATATATTATGTAATATTATGTAATATTGTGTAATATTGTGTAATAATAATATTAGTAGCAGAAAATGTATTATATAATGTTCTATAAATTATATAATATATAAAATATCATATAATATACAATATATTATTACTAATATATGAATAATATATTATAAAATATTTGTCCCAATCAGAATTTATATAGGGCCAGGCTCAGGCTCGAACCTAGTCATCTGTTTATAAAGAGGCAAAGCTAGGCCCAAACCCGGTCTGGCCTGGCCTGTGTGTGTGTGTGTACATATATATTGTCTCATAAGCAAATCACCCAAGCTATTTGTAGACCTTTGAATGTATACAATCTTCAATTATGTCTTTCAACAGCCATTTAAATTTCTTGAACTCATATTTGTACCTCCATGGTACTTTCCCCTCATCCCAATGTTTTAAAAGCGCAAGGGAAATTTTGCACCTGAGGCGCACACATTTTTTAAGCAAGGTACAAAAAATTGCTAAAAAATCAAAAGAATAAAAAAATGCAAAATATTAAATATATTAAACACAATATTTATTAAAAATATAAACATAAATTTTAAAATAAATGTTCAAGAAAACATATTATCTCAAATTAAAATACATAAACATAACAAGTTAAACATATTTAAAATGAAAATTTAAAAATAAAATCAAAGCATAACATATAAAACATATTCAAGCATGTGAACTCTTAATCTCCTTATTTTTTCCCAGTTGCATTACTTCAAATAGCTAATGTGATGTTAAACATTATGCATTCCCAATTCTATGAGCCGTCTTTGTACCAAGCCCCGTGAGACAAGCCCAAATAAGTCCATAGCAGGGTTTTATATTCTTAATCCCTATAAAAAAAGGTCTTACGTTCACCATTCCAAACATTGCAGCCAAAATTTCTACACTTGTTGAGTCCCCAACATCATAGAGGAGGAGAAATATGAGCCACTTCTACCAATCACACAAACAGCACCAAAACTAATTGTTGATCTCAACAGGAAGTCAAAGTAACTTAAACAAAATAGGAGAGCTAGTATTAAAAGATCTCTAGAAATCACTTCCAGGCAGCAAATTTCAAGATATTCTCCAAAATCCTCCAGGAAAACCAGGAGGATTAATCTAGACTGACCAGCCATTCAAAACCCTATACACTGGTGATCCTAGTAGTGTATGGGTCTATGCACAGAAAAGAGATGTGCACTGTTACCTACTTGTCTTGTAATCAGCAACAAAATATAACAAATTTAACTTGTTTAAGCGATAGAAAAACAGAAAGACAGTAGAAAAGAGTGAGGAAGAAGAGAAGAAGAGTGATGGATAAAGTAAGAGCACTCAGTAAATCATACAGCCTTATTTCTCACCCCTCACCCCTTTCCTGCATACCTCTTTTAAATCATTTTTATTGTCAATTTGCAGAACTTCCAATTATCATTCAATAACAAAAGGATCTCCAAGTAAATCAGCAAAGCAAAAACAGAAAAGAGTTTACAAACCTTCCTGCCAACTAAAATGGTGTTCTTTGTACATGGGTCAATTATTTCCAGCGAGCTGAACTTGCCATGAATAGTTGCCGATTCTTCCCAATGATTACATTTAATTTTTATTCCACCAAAAGAAAAATGAACAGATTCCTTCTCAAACCCCCTGAAAATTTTTATAAGGAAAACAATGAAAAATAAAAAAACAATTTAAGTGAATAAAAAAGTCATAATTAAAGTCCTATAAAAAGAATATAATTATCAATCAAATTTAAGGGAAAATCAATAAATTAAAACATATGTAACCAATTTTTCACTAAAACCATAAAAAAGCAACCTTTGCAAGAATTAACAATTACTAACATAGAGTTCCACCAGTCAGACAAGTCTAAACCACCAGAAATAGGGAATAAATCCAAACTTGAATAAGTAATACACAATAAATCATATAAAACAATAAAAAATAAATAAGTTACTAATGGTCTCGAGGATAAATATTTAGGTAAAACAACCATCAGAAGGATTAGGGGAGGTGATCGTAATGGCTGGAACATATCACTAGGATGGAAACTACAAATAGGGATTGAGGAAGGAGAAATACACCCTTGGAAAAGGATAAATGAAAGGTCTGTGTAACAGGAAAAAGTCACATAGAGAAAGGATTTCAAAACGCTGTTTCAAATGTAAACCCTTTCTAATGGCAACATGAACAAAAAAAAAGCTTTTTCTAATAATATGTAAACTTAGAATGCAAAGAAAAGGAGCATCCAAACAACAAGAATACCACCTTAGCATTCTGCTTTTTGCAAGTAAGAAAAGAATACGGAAAATAACCATTCTTAGCATTCTTACAATGTTATCTTCTTCCAAATGTTATCTTCTTCCAAATTGGAATTGAATTCCAAATTAGAATTGACTCCCTATCATCTGACCTAGTTCATATCTTCAAGCACATGCAGGAAGGCTGTAATCTGATTTCTTGAAGGGCGTAGCACTGTATCTCCTTGCACTGATCAGCTGTCATCTCTTCAGTTCTCTTTTCTGGCCGTAGGACCAGTGTTTTCTTGTTTGTGAATGTTGTTTCACCTTTCAGCACATGCAGGAAGGCTGTGCTATCTTCAAAGTCGAAAAAAGCCAAAAAAAAAAAAAGAAGAGGAAATCCAAGGACCAAAGCCAAAAAAAGAGGTTTCTGTGGTAGAGCCCCCTCGAAGAGGCTTATGTGGTAAACAGGTTGTCATCACAACCCCACAAGTCTATGCACAACCTTCGGCATGCAACTAGGCTTCATGCCTTTCTATTAATAATCAAACTTAAACATGAAAGGAACACCCATCTGGACACAACTGATTCCATTCCACTGTGATAATCAACTAACTCTCAAGTATTATCTTTTACGATAGCTTCCATCTCTAGGGTCATGAATGAGAAATAACTTTTGTGACACTGTTAGGAACAGGAAAGAAGAGTGAGCACAAATGCTCAATACAAAAGAGATAATAACTCAATAGATAATATGAAATAGGATAGATAATAGTACAAGAATAATGAGTTTATTCACTTTTACCTTTCTAAACAGCAATGGTGAGATCAAGATAAAAAGGAATGGTAGATTCAGTTTCAACAATATGTCAAAATAAATGGGTACACTAGTGTTACTCAAGTTACTTTAAGCATAAAGATTCAGACATTGCAGTTTATCACTTTAAGTAATCTCCACTGTAAGGAGAATACCAGAGGCTTAACTTCTGATATTCCCATCTAGCCCCGTCCTCCAATAATAGAACTTACATCTTGCTATATTGTGCCCAATGTAATTATTTCCAGCTAATTTAACCATTGAAATGGAAATATCATAGGTTTAATTGTATCTAGCACTAAACACAATACTATTCAAGCCTATGATATTAGATACTTGTACATGTCTAGCATACCAATATCATATTCAATAAGTATTAGATACAATACAAGATATGCACGGATACTTACACTATAGCTTAACACTTTTAGAATATATAAAGTGGTAGGTTTTAACTGTCAGTGCACAATTTGTACTAGAGAAAACAACCACACCACGAAAGAGCTATTTATATTAATGAAATGTAAAAGGACACTTCTGTCCTTATAGTACAATAACTAATGTACAGAATAAAATAATAGAAAATGAATAGTACGAAAAGAAAGTAAAATTACAAATTAACCCTCACTATCCCTGTCTCTACACTCCCGCTCAATCGGATGTAGGGGCACTATTATCAGATTGTCCACGAGAAAGGAGGTCTCTTATAAAGTGACAATCCACTTCAATATGCTTTGTCCTTTCATGGAAAACAGGATTAGAAGCAATCTTGATGGCACTTAGATTGTCAACGAATAAAGGAACAAGAGAAGACTGAGAAATATTGGGGTCATGAAGGAGCACCTAGAGCCAAATAATCTCACTACATGCTAAGGACATGGCTCTATACTCTACTTCAGTGGCAGTGTTTTAAAAGCGCAAGGCGCAAAAAAAAGTGCAAGGGCCAATTTGCGCTTGAGGCGCAAAGCGCAAGGTGCAAGGCGAGGCACATGCCTTTTTAAGCAAGGCGCAAAATTACAAAAGAAAAAGCTAAAAAATAAAAAAAGGTCAAAAAATGCAAAAAAAAATCAAAAAAATATTAAGCATAATGTTAATAAAAAATATAAACTTAAACTTTAAAATAAATGTTTTAAAAAACCTATTATCTAAAATTAAAGTACATAAACATAACATGTAAACTGTACTCAAATGAAAATTTAAAAATAAAAGCAAACATATAAAGCATTTTCAAGCATGTAAAACTCACAATCTCTTTTTCTCCTTAATTGCATTGCTTCAAGTTGCTAATGTGATGTAAAACATATTGCATTCTTGATTCTATGAGTCACCTTTGTACCATGCCCCTCGAGGCATGCCCGAACAAGTCTATGTTAGGGTCTGAAATTCTTATGATATTATAACTTTCATTACCTTTTAAGAAGATATTTAATTGCAATGAATGAATGAACAATATTAGCAAATAGGGGGTTCATTCATTCGCTAATGTTGTTCATTAGCAAATGTTGTTCATTCATTCATTGTAATAAAAAGGCAATGAAAGTTATAAAATCATTATTTTTTATGTGAGAAATAAGAATTTCAGACCCTAACATAGACTTGTTCGGGTTTGCCTCAAGAGGCATGGTTGGGGGTCCGGGGGCAGAGCCCCTGGCCCAGCGGTTAGACTCAAAAAAAAAAGCAAAAAGCGAAAAATTTTAAAAAGGCGCACACATGGGCTGAGGTGCAAGGCGCATTAGGCGCATGCCTAGGCACACCAGGCGTGCGCCTTTTGATAGGGGTGCGCCTAGGACCTGAGCGAGGAATGCGCCTCACCTACATGCCTAGGCGTGCCTTTTAAATCACTGGGTTTGGAAACGGTCTATTGCTTCTTACATTTCCAAGAAATATGCACCACCTAGTGGTAGATCTCCTAGTATCTGGACAACCAGCTCAATCGGCACCAGCATAAGCAAATAGCTAATGCGATGAGGTGGATGGGAAGAACACACCATAGGAATTAGTCCCCCAAACATATCTAATCATACAATGTACAACTGTCATGTGAGGTTGACGAGGAGCAGAAACAAATTGGATTACAATATGGAATGCATATGAGATGATTGGGCATGTCATTGTGAGGTAGATAAGACTTCCCACAAACCGACAATACAAGTAAGTGTGTCAATGGACCAGGCATGTCATTTTGGACCAGTCCAAAATCAATTTGGACGGATTGGATGGACCAACAAGATATATTGCATTGGACCAATCCGGTCAAAAATATTTATTAGATTAGATTGGACCTGGTCCGTCCGTAATAAATTTATATTGGATTGGGTTGGATTAAGCCAATATCTAGTCCATTGATATAAGATAAGAATATAGGTGGTGATGGACCAATTTGGGTTGAAACCAATCTAAATCAAAACGAATTTGAACAGATTGGACGGTCCAGACATTGAATTGGACCGGTCCAAAATGGTCCAAAATATTCATTGGATTGGATTGGACCTGGTCCATTTATAATGGACTCACATTGGACTGGATCCGATAAGGCCAAATCCAATCCAATTACCACCCCTAGATACAAGGTGTTATCTTCTAAAAGAGGACCGTCAACCTTACTCAACTTCAAATTGACTTCCAATGGGGTATCAACTATCTTTGTGTCTATGAGGTGAGCGAGCCTGACTACGTTTGTTGATTAAGGAATTAGCCACTAGAATTATGATGAACCTCCAAGCCCAAGAAATTAGTAATGGGTTCCAAATCTTTCATCTTAAAGGATTAGCTAAGAAGATGCTTGAGCTGATGTATACCATCTTGATCATCTCTAATTATGAGAATGTCATCAATATACAAAAGCAACAATTTGATACCCTGAGAACGCTATGATGTAAAGAGAGAGTAATCTGAAGAACTTTGAATGAACCTAGCATTTGTGATAACAAGTTGAAACCTCTCAAACCAGGCACAAGAGGCTTGTTTAAGGCCATAGAGAGACTTCTTGAGGCAAAAAACTAGATGAGGCTCATCACAATAGCCAGGAGGAGGTTCATGTACACTACCTCCTTCAGATCCCACTCAAGAAAGCATTCTTTACATCAATTTGGTCAATGACTCAATTCTTCACTGTAGAAATGGCCAAAAGGAGACGAACCGTGGTTATCTTGGCCATTAGGGAAAATGTATCCTCATAGTCTATCCCATATTCTTGCTTGAATCCCTGAGCAACCAGTCTAGCCTTGTATCTATTCAGACTACTACCAGATTTCAACTTTACAAAATACACCCACCAGCTTCCTATAACTATGGTATCAGGAGAAGGACAAACTAACTCCCAAGTGTCACTTTATAGAAGAACAACTATTTCAGCATCCATGGCATCTCTTCAATAAGTGTGAGCTACAGCTTACTGGAAAGACCGAGGGATATCTATAGTGGACAGCACAGCAGAGAAAGAACTATGGTCTGAGGGAAAACATAGCGGTCAAGTGGTCTAGAGACTGGAGCAATGCAAGGTAGAAACATCAGTATGAATAGGAGGGGATTATGTACTTACAGGCGTAGGAGTGGATGTGGCACCATGCTCTAGATGAGGAGAGGTTGGGAGCGTAGGGGTTGGATCTGCTAGCCGCTTCCTAAAATAAAGTTGGTGCAGCAACTAAGAAGTTGGCATTTCTGAAGTACCTGCAAGCTCAAAGTGTTGTATGATAGATACTAAAGGAACACAAAATTTTGTGATATGTTGAAAAAATGAAGAGATTTTCAAGAAACATCACATTCTGAGAGATTCTAACCCAATGAGACTAAGGAGGACACAAAGCAAACTGAGAAGGTAGCTTAGTGCGCTCATGTCGAGGAAGATGAACAAAACAGATACAACCAAACACATGAAGCGTGGGTAAGTCGGGAGGAGTCTTAAACAGGGACTAATGTCGGGACAGGTTACCAAGGATAGATGATGGAAGAAGGTTGATAAGATGCACAGCAGTGCTGGCCGCCTCCACCCAAAAGGTTTGCTGGTGCATGAGAGTCAAGGAGCGTTCTAGCAACACTCAAGAGGCTTATGCCTCCTTGTGCTCAGGAGGCTTACACCTCTTACATTCTGAACTATGCCTCATGCCTCGAGGCAGTGGAACACCTCACATCGTGTTTTGTGTTTTAAAACATTAGCTGTCATTTGCAGCTTGGAGAGGGGGGTACTTAACACCTTACCACTTCCAATCCAAGTGGATCCATGGTCTCTTGGTATAGTACCATATGGGTGGAGCAATTGAATCACTAGATATATATATATATATATATATATATAAAAAAATGAAAAGATCAATTTTTAAGGACTAAAGTGGACTTTTCTTTTAGGAAATGGAGAGTCGTTTCCCCATTTTCCGGATTTGTGTCAGTATTTAAATCCATTTCTAGGCATCATAGGCTCAAGCTTGCACTGCTAGAATCACTGGTTGATGGCTTTTTTGCTTATGCAAAACCTTCCTTAGTACCAAAAATTAAAAACCAACAAGCAAAATTTGCAATATCATTATATCACACAAAAGCACCACATCGACCTCTATGGAAGATGGTACTAAAACTGCACTATAGAAATCTCAAAACTTTCTAGAAACAAGACAAATTACTGAAATAACGCAACCAATAATAAACATTAAACAATAACTAATATATTTCCTACACAAACACAACAAAATTAAGCAGACAAGCAGAAATCATACTTTTTTCCAATTGTTGCATTAATTTGATGAATGTTGAACTTGATATTAGACACATAGGTTTTATCTCCACCAGAGGCATCACCATCAACTGAAGGCAATAGATGAAATTTTGTTGCCTCATAAATATCCTGCTCAAGAAAAGCCATAAAATTTAAGAAGAAATTCTATATAAAATAAAACAGTAAGGTCAACATCCATTAGTATCAAAAAGTATGGGAGCATATACAAACAGAAAATGTTAGTATTTATATGCTGAAAATCCAATGCATAATTCTCACAAAAAGGAATGCATTTGGGTACTTCACTGAACACCTGAAGGGAAGGCAACCATGAATATTAAATAACAGCAGAAATTAACAGAAATACCTTAATTACTTCATCTGAAACAACACCAGAAAATTGACTGGAATCTGCTGTCCCTCCAGCACCTAGCACGCCAAGGGATAACCAATTGAGCCATCCACGGGACCTGCTCAATAAGCATTCATCATTCTGCTGCTTTTCCATGGAAACATTGGTACCAATTGTTCCCATATTGGAAGATGCAGAGTTCAACAGAGACTCCTGAAAATGAATTCTAGAATCATAAGAGAATATATTTATATCAGTATATGACATTCAGATAGTGCAGTTGGACAACACTACTAGAGGATTGTATTAACCAACATCCTATTTGTCAATCATCAAATTTCCATCCTATTTTCAAGTGTCATTATGTATACACCAAAGAGATTCAATTTTCTTCATTGCTTTTTGTGTTGCTGGCTTAAGTCCAACTCAGGATAATTAAGAGAGGAGAAGAATCAGGCATGATTGAAGGCAGGTTGGTTTGGATAGTCTGGTTCTTCTACATTTTCGATATGCCAATCATACACTTTTCTGTAAAGCATCAGAAGAGCACATGCAAACTCTTAGGTGATTCTTTTACGAATATTTAAGTAATTTTCCGGTCTCTTAGAACCTTAACAAGAGTATGATGAATGGAGTGTAAGGTATAGGCTAAAACGTACTTGAGGATTTTTCCGTGGGGATGAGATGTCAAGTTTGATTACTACCCTTTTTTATTTGGATCTTCCAATTGGTACTAAAGCTCATCATCTATTTCACAACCTACCATTAAATGGATTGAAAAAACCTCTGGTACAACATATGCACATCTATATATCTTTTGATGACAGAGTTAATTTGTTCTAGAGTATTCTAGCATGTCAATCCACTATCATTCTCTCCTTAAGTTTCACAGAGATGTCAATCAAATTGAAATTATTAAACAGCATTTATTATTGGTTGTAGCCTTGTAGGAGGAAATAGGAAAAAGCTTCATCTAGTGAAATGGTGATTGAGTTTGTAAACCTAAAAAATGTGAAGATTTCGATTTTAGACAGAGTAATGAGTAAAGCTCAATAGCTAAGAACACTGGAGATTTGAGGAGAAGCAGTCCTTGTTGAGGAGAGTGACAGGGAGAATATATGTTCTGAGGGTTGAGTGGGCCTCTAAAGTCATAATCTTCAAATTACAGGATATGTGAGTTGAAGGGTATTATGAGGTTTCATTTTTCACCTGCTGATGTCACAGGAATTTCAAGTGTGTGATGGGTCTACACTAAAGGCCATTACCCAATGTTGGTCCCAGCTATCCAGGGTCTTGGAGGGGTGGACTGGATACGGTCCTAACCTCTGGCATTTTTTTAACACAAAATGGCTGCTCTCAGACTTGAACCGACATTCTCACGCTTGACAACCTGAGATTTTACCATTACATCAAGTCATGGGTCTAGACTAATAGTCTTAATTGTTATACCCAACTTCAGATTTCATTGGACATGTTGCTTAAGGAAGGATTTCAAATTGTCCAGTTGCTCATTTCTTTGTAATGTTTTGCATCAAGGTCAAACGCCTTTACCTGACTATAATTCCTTTTTTCTTCTAATTAAATTTTACTTTCCACCAAAAAGAAGGGCCAAGAAAAAGGTTTCAGGAAGACAAATGGTGTGAGTTGGAAAGTTGTGTCACCTCTGTCAAGACTGTGTAGATTGAGTACAAAGAAATTATGATAACCCAATGCTTGAGTTTAGAGGGTAACAGGTTGTAAATAGTCCAAAACCTAAAATTTCTTTATTGACTAGAGAGGTGGAGAAATGTATCAACCTATTCACCCAATTAGAAGCAATTAAATTAGTCCTGATTTAGCAGATTATAGAAGGAGAAAACAGATGTTCAGAGTTATTTTTTAAGCCTTATTATGACACACAAATAAGAAACAAGAGATTTGGTGCTACCCTACTCACCAAGAGTTGAGGCTTTTACACAACTGCAGTAACCTGATGGTATTTTGACAATTGACCATTTTAAGTCTATAGGTTACCATATGACAAACCTTTGTTACATAAACAAAAGTTTGAGGATGTGAGATATCTATTTTTTCTATATACTAACAAAAGAAGCACCTTACCACCATTGTTTAGAAAAGCGGACCAAACCAATTGAACCGTGCCCCGGGACCTTGGTCAGTTCGGTATTACTCCAATAACCACTTTTGCTAAAAAACCAGTGAAAACCGGCTGACCGGCCGGTTTAACCAGAAAACCGGTGGCCCGGTCCTGGTTTCATAAAACCACCCAGTTCTTTAACTAATTGAAATTTTAAAATGTGGTTAACAAGATTTGAACCCATGACCTTTTAGTTATTTGCTATATATATATATATATATATATATATATATATATATATCTATATGTATGTATGTATGTATGTACGTATGTATATGCCATGTCATCACAGTTCGACCCCAGTTGAACCTCAGACCCATGAACCTCTCCCTTCTCCGGTTCTATGCCCGGTCCGGTTCACACCCCTTGAAATTGCGCAAGCAAAAGATCTCCCAAGCCAAATCACCATCAAAAGTCAATAACCAAACTACAACCTAACCCAACCTCTAACGTCCCCACTACATTTGCATACCTGAAGAACCCTCTTGTTTATTAGAAGGCTCTAGAGACTCACTTCACAACCAATGCTAGTTCTAGAAGTGGCCGGAAGAACTAGCTAATAAAACAATATTGAAGAAAATTGAGACTCACTTCACAACCTATGCTAGTTCTAGAAGAGCCTAGAAGAACTGGCGAACAAAACAATATTGAAGAAAATTCCCAAAAACCCCTGCAAGAGACATGAAAACTCTTGCAAAGAAGCATGCCTATGTAATTTGATTCATAAATCGGGACTTGTCAATCTCCATCATCATGAGAGCAATCATTGTTAGTCGGAGCAATCAGAACCATCAAAGGACATCTAGACCAATGTTGTCAAAATCTTACAATTTATGATATGATTCATGATTTGAATCATGAATCCCAAGGGTTTTGATTCAAATCTTATGTCTGAATCGTTTTCTGCAAAAAATCTTATGATTTTTGTTTGAATCCTACAATTTGATTCATAAATCTTACAAATTATACGATTCTTGCGATTCACTGCAATTCAAATCAATTCAATTAAGAATTAGTTCTTTACTTTGTCATTTTGTTTTGTTTATATTTAGTTTTGTCAAGGGTGACTTGTTTTAAAGACCTTACTAGTTGTGTTATTTAAGACCATATATTCAGTTTATTTTCTATTATATGGAAGATAAAGAGTCATTGTATGTGGATTATTTGATCATATCATCTTAGAATTCTACTGTATAAGTGGAAAATTCTATTGTTTCAGGTATATATATGATAGATAAGGATAAAAATAAAGTATAATCACTTCTCTATATATATATTTTGCCTTTTAGCATATCTATATTTATTTTTTGACAATTTTTAAAAATAGAAATAATCTTATGATTTACGATACGGTTCACGATTCGACTCAATTTAACTTTCTCTACAAATTACGATTCAATTACAATTTTCAGAGCATTGCTCTAGACTTCTTGTTCCAAGACCTCACATTTCCTAGTTGAGCTGAAAAGGAGATGCCAGTGGTTGCATGTTTGGTCTCAGAGAAAAATAATAGGCTTCTGGCTTTTTGTTGGAAGGTAATAGGAATCAAGGTAGATACAAAGGAAATTTAGAGATGAAGGTGTCTGCTCTAGAATCTGAATCATCTCTGGTCATTGAGAAAATTGAGATTCCTATTGGCTAAGTTGCGGTACACCTGGGCTGGATTAAGAAGATTTCTAAAGACTTTACTTTGGCGTGCAAAGATATCAAGGTAAAGGTTTCAACACAAGCCGTTGATGAGTTAGATTTAGAGAAGAGGTCAAATGCTGTGAAGAGACTCACTAATTGTCATAAAGTACGATGTTCAGCTCCTATCTCAAGAGTTTTCTCTCTTTTAAAGTTGGACCTTTGGGGTTACAAATTTTGCAAGAGTTGCAAGAAGGTCTACAAGAGAATGTGTGATTAAAGGCGAGTGCTCTTCCATGTTGTGCAGTAGTAATCAGTAAGGAGTTATTGCTGAATAATTAGTTGAGAGGAAATTGGGTGGAGGACATACGTTGGTTTGCCCTGATGTTATTCCAAAAGATAGAGTGCCAGCAAAGAACTTCAGATGGTTTGTCTGTGCATGGTGATCGTGAGGAGGGTGAAGTTGCATTAGAGCATCTAGAAATGTGCATGAGAGGGAGAAGCATAAGGCGTCTCCTTCTGATAATACATGAAGTGGTAAGGTCAATCTGATGAAGCTGACCCTAAGCAGAGATAACTGTTAGGTTAATCAGATGGCCAATTAGATGCAAGCTCAAAATTTTCTACGACAATCTCAAGAAGGATGTTGTATAAGAATCAGAGATAATGTCTGAAGAAAATAAGGGGGAGACTGAAATGCAAGAGGATGAGGTTGAGGTGATTTTTAAACAAGAAAGATAAAGGTTGATTTGGAGAAAGTAATTGAACAGAAGGTCCAGGTAAGTAATCACTGCACTTGCTTCTCTTGAGAAAGGAGGAGTTTTCTGAGAGAAATTTTTTAGAGTAGGAAAAAAAGAATAGAGCAGATGCTGACCACTCGCTTCCTGAGCCTGATAATGACATGGATGAGGCCTGATATTTTGAAGCTGCTGATGTGTTGTGATTAGGGGTTGAGGCTGATTGTGTATGATGATGTGGGTTCTGTATTGCCCCTATTGTAGGTGGCCTTTCCTTGGATGCAGGGTGGTGAAATGTAGAGAATTTATAAGTGAGGAGTTTTATTGTTTGCTTTTAGTTTGGTTATTTTTCCTTTCAGGTGATTTCATATCACATTTTTTATTTTATTGAATTATTTGTTTATTATGAAAAAACTTAGATCACAGTTTTCTTGATGCAGTCAAGAATAATGGCAGAACTATTGGATTGATACGAATCAATGAGGATATAATCTAGCAGGACATAAAACTTGAGGCAGTATGGCAGAGCCCAGAGGTCAACTAACTGAACTGCAACTAGGCTAGCTAGAGGTGTGATCAGCAGAGAGCTTTGTGGATGACTGCCCCTCCTTAATTGCTGTCTATCCAACATTTTTGTAAGTGGAATTTCCTTTGTTTTGCAAAATTGTTTGGCCCATGACTATTGGGATAAGGGGGACAAGCCCTGCCTGTGGAGCTTCAGTCTGTGTAGCACATGTTTCTTCTCCTCCCTATTTAATTAATATAATATATATGTATATATTCCACTTAAAAAAAACTAATAAATAAGTCTCAATATAAGGGCAGGAATTGCATATCAAAAACCTTGTTATGTATTGAAGCCGATTCCTTTACAAAAAAATTCCAATACCTGCAACTCACATTCTGCGATGGATCTGTATCTCAGGATATCATCAACATCACATTCTTTCTCCATCCGCTCCAGTTCCAGAAGAGTAATTTCATCTACAGGCTAGTCATCATCAACCAACAAATGTATCAAACAGAAACAAAAAGGAATAAAAATAACTCTTGCTGTTCCACAGGTATTTAGTATTCAATTGATACACTAAAATAACATTTCTACAGAAGAAAACAACCAACAGGTGAATACAACAAATGTATCAACAAACATAGAAACACAAACCATTGAAAGTTTAAGAAGGATAAACAGCACAAAGATATTTCATGAAGAAGCATTCAACCTTGTAAAACCCCTTGCTTTCAAAAAACAGTCTGTCCGATGAAGCATACAGCTTCATATACTTTGACCCTTGTTGCAGAAGATTATATATAGGCCAATTGAGAAGAATCACTTGGGAAGTGCATTCTAATGATAGAGACAGTTCGAAGTACACAGAGAACTTGAAAGGGTGTCTTGAGTTCACACACCCAAAGAATTGTATTATATATCATGTGAGTACAATAGAGTGAAAGGACAATTATGTCCTCTAAAACAAATAAGAAAAAGTCATATATACAAGAGAGAAATAAAAGATACTGTATATAAGATACATGACAATGTGATACTCCCAACCAAGTCAGCCCATAGTATTTCTACACCTGCTCTCCCCCTCAAACTGATGCCAAGCTAGAAGCATCAGTTTGTCAGCTAGGAACTTGTGGCGAGGACACGCCTTTGTGAAGATGTCAGCAAGTTGAAGACCAGATGAAACATGGGGAAAAGTGATGATTCTAGCAAGGAATTGATCTCTGATGAAGTGACAATCAACTTCTATGTGTTTAGTGTGTTCATGAAAAACAACATTAGAGGCAACCTTGATGGCACTGACATTATCTACATGAATGGGAATAGAGCCCAGAATCTGAATGTGAAGATCACCAAGAAGATCTCTAATACACAATTTCACTACAGACAGAAGGCATAGCTCGATACTCAGCCTGAGTAGGGGTAGTATCCATATTCAGAATATTTTACCTAATCACTTCATATTCAGGCCGTAAATGCATTAGAAAATGCATGATCATCCTTTTATCAAATGTTCCTTCATAATCTTGACACAACAAGCTGACAGAGAATCCCCCCATGAGAACTAATTCATACTCAGTCCACAGATTAACAAAACCAACATAGTACTCGTGGATCTTCTTCTCCCCTCAGGTTTAAGAGAAGATTTCCATTTCAATTTGGTATTGTCAAGAGAGGTTGGGCTGTTGGCAGACCTTCTCCATGTATTCAAATATCTCCTTTGCAATCGTAAGGCCTCTCATTGGAATATCTATGTCAGTGTCAATCAAACAAAGAATCCACAAAGCAATTCTTGCACTGTCTATCATCCACTGCTTCACCCCTTTGCTATTGGATTCATTAGGCTTGGCCATTGAACCATCCGCATAACCCCAAAGTCCTTGGCCCTCAACATAAAACTGAAGTGGAACTACCATAGAGTATAATTGCTACCATCGAATTTGATTGACAATAATTCCCATTTGTCTGAAGCTGTTTAGGGGTGCAAACAGAGATAATTAAATTCAAATAGGGGTTTATCCGAATTCAATTCTTTAAGAAATATAGCATATCCAGATTCAATTCAAACCCAACAGATCTAGAAATCCCTAGATTTGAAATTGATTAGTTGAATAATTGGATATCAAATTAAATCCTTCTTGATTTGATTATCGTAGAACAAAGTTAAAAAATGAAAAACAGATCTGAGTTCTAAGAACACCCACAATGGGTTTGGCGTTCAACGTCCAATGTTCGACAGCAATCTAAGTTCTAAGAAGTAAAACAGACAAAACACACATGATACATGTTGGAAGCAGAGTTTTAAAAGATGTGGGAGACGAACACCTAGAGGCACACCTCCAGACAAGGTGCCCCCAAAACGCCCTGAGGTGTATGCCAGAGGCGCTGATGCCTCGAAGGTGTACGCCTCAGGCCCAAGAGGCGCATACCTCATACGCCTTTTGCATGAGCTGTAACAGAGGTGTATGCCTCATGCACACCTCATGCGAAAAAGGTAGAAAGGAAGAAAAGAAGACAGAAAAAAGGAAAGAAATGAAAGGGAAGGGAAAGAAAGAGAAGGGAAAAAAAAAACAGAGAAAAGGAAAGGAAGGGAAACCCTTTTCAGCTAGTGTTATGCATCTTCATTCTTCTTAATACAAGACATCTTTCATAAAAAAAAAAAATAAACAAAAATAAATGAGATCCTCTTTCCACTTCTTCTTCTTCCTCCTTCCTCCTCATCCTCCTCTTAAGGAGGTTCACACCTCCTACATTCTGAACCATGCCTCACGCCTCCAGGCAGTGAAATGCCTCCGCATTTTAAAACATTGATTGGAAGCTGCACCCATATCTAAGGCCTCAAAGGTTCAGGAAGAATGATAACAAGAAAGGGACTGCTAATAATATTATTGTTGCATCCTGTGATGGCTCCATTCCTACACCTTCCTGGGACACATTGAATGCTGTCAAGGCAAAGATAGAAAAGTACAAAGAATATATTAGACAGACTGAGAACAGTATGACTGGCAGTTCTACATCGTCTGCACCTTGCCCTCCCAGTGTGTCTGCATACTCAGGTGTAAGTGTAACAACCACTGCCAACTTAGCTTCAGTCACAGGTAATTTAGATATTCCCTGCATCATAGATCCAGAGCTTCTGATGATATGAGTAGTATCTCTACCTTATTTCATTCTTATCAATTGTGTTTGAGTAGAGATAAAGTCTCCATAGCCAATGGGTCTCTTGCTCCTGTGTCAAAGAAGGGAGATATTAGGGCTTCCGTCTGATGGGCTCACTTTCCTACATCTGCCATACATGTTCCAAAATTAAACACCAATCTACTTTCTGTCAGTACTCGTCACTTATAAATCCTCTACACTTCACCACCTTGCATCCAAGGAAAGGCCACCTACAATAGTCTTACTATAAGTTCAAACTGTTCAGTAACATTCTTTCGTGATTGTTGTGTTTTTCAAGATCTGGCTTCAAGGAATATGATTGAGAGTGGCTGTGAGAAAGATGGGATCTATCAGCTTGAGTCTACTGCTTCAGCCTACCAGAGTCAACATCATGGGAGTAATGTGTCATCTGACTATCCGAGTGTGCAGAATATCTGATTGAGTCATGTTTGATGTTTCTTTTAGTTCTTTGAGGGTCTTGTTTCTAGATTTTCTTAAGTTTACCAGTATGTCTAGTTCTCAATGTGAAGGGTGATTCAAATTAGGTGTTAAGAAGTCAAACTTGCTATACAAGTTATGATTCCACTAAGATTACCCATCTGTTTCCTTAGTTACACGGAAGACCGTATTATGCTTATCCTATGGAAGAGAATTCTGTTCTGGATTTCGCTCTCCACAGTTCCTCTTCGTATCTCCTCCATTTGGGAGGTGGCTAATGGTAAAGTAAATACTTGTGACAATCTTCAGAAGAAAACGCTTGGCTTGATACATCTCTCCTAATGTGTATTTTATGCTATAGAGATGGGGAGTCCATAGGACATCTCATAAATTGTCAGGTTGCAAGAAGTTTGTGGCAATTTTTCCTTAATTCAATAAACTACAGTTTGAGACACCAAAATTCTGTTGGAGATTTCAATGTCAAATGGCATGGCCTGAATTTCAAGTTGGGAAGGAGATGCAGATGCTTTTCGAAGGGTATTACTCAGGCTGTTACTTATGCTGTTGTAGGTCTGAATCTAGGTGATTTGCAAAGAAATTGGCTTCAAATCACACACTGCCCCAGCTAATAATCAGTGTCTACACCCTCTTCCTCCCAGAAAGAGACCATTCAATTTTATAGTATCAGCCTTCAGTAATCAATATCTCCAAACTTTTCCTTTTTGCCAACAGCAACCCAAAAACAACAAAAAGAATGTGGACATAGATGAAGAAGAGGAAAAAAGAAGTCAAATCCAACTACTTTTCCAGACAATAAGAAAGGAAACTCAGGAATAGTATATTGAAAACCATAAGGCAGTTTTTGCTTATTAGAAGCTTATCATCAACAGCTCATCCACTATGGTAAATACAAATATAAAAAGGAAAAAAACAGCACATACCAGTTCTTGTCGGAGAAAATTCAGTTTAGTTTTATATAAGTTTACATACTTGCGGCAATAACTTCTGCATTTAAGAAAAACACATTTTAATCAAGTAGCCAGAATGTAGAATCAGCACAACTTTGGACGAAGAGAGCTAAATTTACAAAAGATAGATACATGAGAAATAACAAAGAAAAATATAGGATAGATTCAATTCCATGATTTCTCTGCTTGGATAATATTATGACTATTGATACACTTTTTTTTTATCAGTAACAATAAACTTTATTAATGATATGAAACTATGTGAAACTTAAGGTACAAAAGGGGAAGGTAAAATGTCTTAACTCCCCACCAACAGAATACAATGGAAGAAAGTCAAAAGTTAGCCCAAAAAATAGATTCCCTATTCACCCCTTGCTTGGCTAACCCATCAGCAAATGAATTAGCAGTCCTCTTCACCCAGCTGTAATGCACCACAATATCCCTACTCAACCATTTTAATTTTTTCTTCTCATTGTTGTAACTCCACAAACCGCTGTCTTCTTCCTTTAGCCACTTAATCACCACTTCCGAGTCACCTTCAAGGACCAAACATCTGATGTTCAACTCTCTTGCTCTTTGGATACCTTCCAGGGCTGCAAGAATCTCAGCCCTAAGAGAGAAGGGGACCAAGAAGGACTACAAGTCCTCTTACATAGGGCAGAGGAAGCTATCTCTTTCCAATTTCTTACCAAATCAACCACAGAATAATCTGAGAACAGCTCCATAGTTTTCAGCCAATGTGCCACCCTTAACAGTATTAGATCTAATAAGTCTTCAAGGATTCTTTCCTTGTCTGAAAATATTCGTGAGTTTCTTTCTTCCCATTGGGTTCTTGACAGTATGGCCGGCCAGAAATAAGAGGAAGAGAAGAGAAGAGAAGAGGAGAAGAACAGAAGAGAAGAGAGGAGGGAAGAAAGAAGGGTTTTGCAATGTAACAGTACTGGCGGTGCCAGCCTTTATTTTAATATATATAGGGCGGCAGAAATAACAAGGGAAAAGACCCTTGTGCCCCTGAGTACAATAACAGACATAACAGAAAGAAAAAA